TGATTGTCAATAATATTCTCATATTCTCTGATTCTCATAGAGCAAAATGGAAGAAGTTGTTCTTACTCTGAAGATAATCATTCACTATTGCTAGATCCGGAATGCGATTTGCCACGAAAATGCCATCGTTTTCCATCTTCGTGAAATAACGTTGATATTTAGCGTGAGTGTGTGTGTCAACTATAGCGATTTGAGTTTCAGATAGACGATTTCCCATGTTTTATGCTCCGCTTCCGTATACTCAATAGTGTTGAGAATAATTCGATAAAAATTTTCGAAATGAAGTGCTTTCAATAAACAGATGATGATTTCCATTTGATTCCAATGCAAATACGAACAATAAAAGCGATACTGTCAGGTGCGTGAAGGACTCGATTTTGCTGATCTGCCGTTCAGTGATCAAATGATTGTATTTTCATCATCAAGTCACAAATGTCCATGGTATTTATCATCAACTGCGTTCTGGTTGTTCAGTATACTGTTGATGAGTTGGCCTTTAAGGCTCATTTGTGAACTGCAGACGGCACATGTCAACTATCAAGTCACTAAACTTTTTGGTACCAATTATTTGAGGTGATTGATTTTTTTTTCATTGAATTACTTCATTCAGACATTTGCAGAGGTCTTTTCCTCCCTTGAATTTGTCTCTAATTACGAAATTTTCGGTGCCATTGACTCCGATTTTGAGTTTCATTGTTCACTCACCAATTAAAGTCGTCTTTCAACTAAAAAATGAATCAGTTATTCGATTAGTTTCATGGTGAATCAAATTGGTTCTGAAACTGGGTTCTTAAAAAATCTATTCCATTCTTTTAAATCCGATTGAAGACATGATTATGACTGATTTTTTCCGTCAAATTTGATTCATGAAGCCATAAATCAATCGTCAAAACCGATAAATCTTCAAATATTATGAATGGAGGGTAATTTAATAGTGATGCATTTTGAATGCATGAAATAATTTTCGAAATTTGTCATTCTCTTNCGCAAACTTTCTGAATTCAGTGCCGTGATAGATGTTCTGAAAAATGCTGACAGTTCGGGATTTGATGAGATATGCCGTTTTAGATGATTTTAGCGTCATAAATCATTCTCAGTCCATTTTATTCAGTAATAATGCTGTCTGCCATCCAACCAGAAATAATTGAATAAATAATTACATAGTAACGCCATCGCAGATTCATTTGTTTTAGAAAACAGTTTGAAAAATTTGCAATGTCAGTGTTGCTTCAGTTTTTGTTTATGATGCTTTCACTTCTGTTTGTGATCGTTTTCCAATCTCGGAACTGAGAAGCAATTGCGCGATTCAATCTCGCTGCCGAAACTGAAGAATAATCGTGATTTTGTAAATTCTAATCCATTAGGGATTGTGATCATGATAATTGTTGCCGAGTAAATGCCTGTCAAGCAGCTAATTGTTGATGTTCAGTCCATCGAGTGTCAACTATACGGGTCCATTAACACGAACGTCCACCATGGACAGTCGAGAGTTGGAACTAGCAGCAGCTCAACGTGACAGTTATTTGATCGTTCCCAGCTATAGTGAGGCTATGTTGCTGGAACCGTCTCCAGCCACGAATCAGGTGAATTATAACTGGTGTAAGCACAAAACGCAACTTTACGATTTTATCGCAATTTATCTGCCTGCGAATAGTGGATGGCCTCAATGTAGGCGAATAGATACAATTAGATACAATCCAAATTAATTAGCCTGGCTCAAGCTCGCCAAATCAATGATCTTGGTATACCACTCGGTTCCAAGCCCTAACCGGTGAATAATACGCGGCGGATTCGAGTTCCGTCCTCGCAGGAAAGTTTTGCTCAAAACCGAATGATGTACCAACATCATTGACATAGAGGAGCGGCTTCACACTGAGCGATTTCGTGTGGAAAGCCCATGCATAGCCTTCCTTACCCATACATATCCTTATCTGATCCTCATTACGTTGATCAGATATTTCAGTTGCAGATCATATTGAAATCAGTCATTTCATATCGATACGTTTGTTTTATATATTAAGCATAACAAGTCATTTCATATATTAAATTTTCATATAAAGTTTCGTTTCATATATGAACCAAGTTTCATATATACCAAATCATTTCATATATTATGCAGAACAAGTCATTTCGTATTGATAAAATTGCGAAAGCACCGTTGTTGATCAGTTGTGAAGAAGAAACTGATTGTGGTGGATGAATGGGGTCATAAAAGTGATATGTCCTCGAAGCGGAAAAGTTTCAGCCCCTAAATGTTTCGCAATGCCAACGATCTACTAACTTACAATAATCCCATCAAATCATAATCTTTTTGATCATGAATATGAGAATCCGAACACTCCACATTACTTATCTCCAAACTGAACGCATACTATAATCTGTTTATTGCTTCACTCATTACCATTTCAATAATTTTTCACGATGGTATTGAATTACCTCACAATCAGTATTGATATACTTTTTTGCAACAATTTGCGATCTTCACTGTCATTTATCTCGGCTCACAGGCGATTAAGCAGAATATAAAACTGAACTCTAGCATAATATTCCACACTCTTTCGAATGGTATTGGTTTTGTTTTAATCGGCTACGGGGATAAATCACATCTCGTATGTAAGACTGATCGACAACTGATCTTTGTGAACAATAAAGTTCAGATCTATCTATCGAATGATCACTATCGCAATCGAACTCGGCCACTGGTGTCGTGCAATGAGAATGTTGTGCTGACCAATTATGGTGCTATTGAACAATCATCAAATCAACGAACTCAACGATACGATAATCTGCGAAGTTCATTCAGACGATCGTTAATGCAACGTCTTCCGATTCGAAGTCGTTCCATGAATTTGATATTCAACAGGTTGGTTGGTGGTGAATGCTGAACGCTGCTTTTCAATGCCAAATATCAATTCATCAATTTCCAACAGAAAACAAACGAATCATCATTCATAAACACCACAACACTTACTCACTCACATTCAGGCAACCAAACAGCCTTTATTCGTGAAACTTCATCATTATTTATTTGAAA